AGGGTGTCAGGGGTCGCACCACACACTTCTTGGCCCACACGGGAACCATTTGGTTGAGTTCGCGGTCGCGGGACATGAAGTTTGCCGGCTGTCGGACACCCTCTACAGAACCCGTGCGTCGGGAACCTGCTGTTCGCTGGCCAGAGGCGTGTCGGGCCCGTTGGGGCGACTGATTGTGAGCGTCAGCGCCGGCACCAAAACCAGTGCCAACTCGCGGGTCGTGATACCCGGGCGGTGGCTGTGCGGTGTAGTCGTGTTCGTGAGTAAGTCGGCGCTGCTCTCGCTGTAGCCGTTGTATCATATCGTCGATTGTGGGCCGGACTGCAAGGGGTTGGGGCGATGAGGGTTGTGGTTGAGAGCCTGGAATTTCTACCGGTGCTAACACTTCGGCCACGTCTGAGGATATAAATCCAAAAACTTAATGATAATTCTCTACAATATTCTCAATGCACATACCATTCCCATTGGCGTTATGTACGGCCACATACGGCACGAGTTGTGAATCGGAACAGCTCTCACGGCCGGGAACTAGGCGTTGATAATTGGGTGGATAAGGGTTACCATCGATGTCGACCAGAAAGGGCGGTGGCATGAGGTGTGGCGCGCATTGGGTCTGCTCGTCGATGGCGTAGTGATTGTTATCTCGAATGACTGGCCGATAGTCGGTGTGGAAGAACACCTGATCGGGCACTTTGTCGTAGGGTTTGTGGGACATGACACCGAACAACGACAGGTGCCCGTGAGAGTCGGTCGACGCGAACATTAGGCCGTCCGGTGAGAACTTGCAGTCAAACACAGCCCCATGACCCTGACCATCGATCGAGTTGTAGAACTGCACCAATAAAAACATACCATTCCATCACTACATCACATGCGAGACAAAACACTGTTAAATACATACGCTTTTTATGGCATTCCCTGTGAGCACATCCCATAATATGATAGCGCCGTCGTGTCCGCCGCTCAGGAACAGCCGACTGTCCTTAGGGTGCGCTTCAATCACAAACACCTCGTCCTCGTGACCGTAGAGGACATGTCTCAGTTGACCCGTCTGTGAGTACCACACCTTCAGCGAGTGATCGCTCAAACTGGTGATCACGTGGACATCATCGCAGGTCCAGCCGACCATCGATACCCTCACTTTGCGGGCAACCTCCGTGTCATTGGCCGGTGCCGTGGCGTTTGGCAGGCGCTCAGACATCTTCAACGGTATGTTATGCCAGTGCTGGCGCTCGAAGTACCAGATGTGGGCGACGCCATCCTTGGAACCGCTGACAAACCTCGTACTCAAGTTACTGAACTGCAGCGAATCCACGTGATCCGAGTGCTGCTCGATCTCCAGGATCTTCGTGGGACCGGCCGGCGCTGTGATGTGATAGACCCGGAGGTAGTTATCAGTGGATCCAACGGCTAAGAAGACGCCGCCACAGGAGAAGCTCGAGCACACCAACTGTGAGCCGGGTTTGTGGCGCTCAACGAACTTCTTGGGCTGCGTCTGGAACTCATCGGTGGTCGCGTTGTAGCGCCAGAAGCAGACGCAGCCGTCATTGGCTGTGGACACGAGGTATCGGTTCTCATCGCGAGCTAACGGACAGAACTTGACGGAAGTGATGGACGCGTTGTGACCCGAGAGCACAG